AAGTAGATATACTAAAATTTGAGTAAAATCGGTTGATTATTATTATTATTTTTTTTTTCATATAATTGAAAATATCAAAATCGAATACAACGTTTTCGGACGTGTCGTTAACCGCAGGTCTGCGAACTTCAATATGCATATAAGGTTGCGAGTCAAGAATGCATTTGACATTTCGCATCCAACAAAGAACAGTTTGAATAAATCGGTGCAGCTTATACAATACCTGGACAAATTCATTGAATCTGACATTCAGAAATGGTGTCGGCTTTTGAAAAAAAAAATACACTCGCTAATTGTGCCATGAAAATTTTTTCATTCGGTGCAACCTAATGTTTCAGGAAGTTTCGGGTGATTTGAAAAAAAGAAAAAATTCCAAAAAATCTTTTCTTTCTGAAAAACCATAATAATATTTGATCTATTTTGTTTTTTTCAAAATTCTATCCTTAATCCGTATCGGCCGACCCGTTGCGTCACTTACAATGGCGTCACTGATATTGGTCAAATGCAACAAAAAGTCATCGCATGTTACACATGTCTAACGCATATGGTACAAATATGCGTACCAATATTTCTTACAGGGATCCGTTCCTCGTCGCGGTTTCTTATAATAACGCACGACAGAGGAATGCCTCGTGTTATATTAAAAGGGCAGTGGAACTCGAAATGTCATCCGCTTGTCGTGAGCATTTAGTAACGATGGGACGAAAGAATGAATAGAAAGAAAAAAAGTACGAGATCCTTCATTAATCAAACCGTTGCGTAAGTTTTTCGAAACACGTGACGAGCAGCACACGAGTGACGAAATTTATTTTCGATGCTTTTCATCACTGTTGAGCGACATTAAAACGATAGTCAATTTAAATGATTTTTTGTTTATCAGTCAAGCATCGAAATAATTTTTTTTAAATTGATTATAATATTGCTACTCTCGAATGAACTGTTCGAAAATTTTTACCGATTATTGTGATTTCTGTATATAAACTCGCCTCATAACCAATGGCATAATACACCTATTGTATGGGTACCCCTCATATGTTAAACTACATAAAGTTAGGTTCAGCCGTTCTCTCGACCGGAGTTTCTATGTGCGAGATACTATTGGGTAAGTTTTCGAATAAAAAAAAAAATATTTTGACTTTACGACTTTTCGTAAAACTCAACCATATCCCCGCTGTGCACTATATACAGGGTGGAAAAAATGAATTTTTTAAAAAATGCAACCATTCTGTGGACTTTGTCATCTTTTAAGAATTGATAATGAAAAAAAATTAATTTCAAAATTAATTATCATCGATACAAGGGACAAATAATTTGACTACGAGATTCGTTCCACCGTGTCATCAATTGTCATCGACCATGTCGTAAAGAGCAGATCATTAATCACGAGCGACGGGAATATTTAAAAAAAAAAAAAAAAAAAAAAAAAATTGGTTCAATTTAAAAAAAAAAAAAAAAAAAAATTAATTATCATCGATACAAGGGACAAATAATTTGACTACGAGATTCGTTCCACCGTGTCATCAATTGTCATCGACCATGTCGTAAAGAGCAGATCATTAATCACGAGCGACGGGAATATTTAAAAAAAAAAAAAAAAAAAAAAAAATTGGGCCCGTTTGAACAAAATAGAAAAAAAAATAGAACAAAAGTTTCTCACGCGCGAACTTACGTTTGTGAGAACTGACGAAGTCGAAAGAAAGAAAAAAATATAAAAAATGAACAACAAATAAATAATGCGTAAGTCACACGATGACAGACAGACGCACGACAGCCGTCCGTCGCGCTGGAAGACAGCGGCTTAAAACTCGAGGTCACCAGGAAGCCACTATCTGAGGCACAAACTATATCATATCTCGAGCGCGCTCTTTACAACGAACAGCTGTTCTATACTGACTCACACAGTCTATGGCCTTGGTCCAACCGCACTGGAAGATTAGCCATACCAGTTTTCAACGCAGCATTAATAATCGCGGCTTAATCGTAGAGCGACGATGCACGTGTCGAGCGCTGATGACGTTGATTGATCGGTGAACGCGCGAATTTTGAAAATCGATATTGAAAAACAAATTTTTTCTCACGTAAGAACAAACGAAATATGCATTTTTTTGTATCACTTTTCTTTTTTAGCGATGACAACGATACCTCCGGGCAATCACGTGCAATTATCATACTCGATGCACTGTACAAAAAAATTACTTTCAAGACACGTAATTTAACACGTCCAATTAAATAAATTGGCAAAAATTTACGTTGCTATTTTTTTCCAAAAAAAAAAAAAATAAATCTACGATTTACTCGGTTACACTTTTTTAGCCTGTTTCTCTTATTCAGCCACGGGGCACGAAATATATTTTCGTCTGTTATTTAATTACGTGCAATTTCTGTTTTGCCGTATTTTCAAGGTCACTGCGTTTTACGATTACGCAAAATCTACGCATTGAAGGAATTCGAAAATACAATATTTATGCAATAAATCAAATCGCACCGACTTCAAAATTTTAAACCGCGCTAATTCCCAATCGTACGCTCGGTCCGCGGAAGATCGATAATTTTTTTATTTTATTTCGATAACTTGACCTAACCTCTTTGACGGTATACAGGTACCACTTCGTTTCAAGATATCGATAAGACGTACGGAGTGTGTTTTGACAGGCCCGATAATTTTTTGACACGTGTCAAAGCGTCGTATCATGAACAATGGGAGGTCTGTATCGGCGTCGTCGCAGTCTGCATCCTTACTGGAATTGGTTGTGTGTATATATATATATATCAACGGCGCAAGCAAGTATACAAAGGTACCGTTGTTTTCCATCGGCGGTTTTGATTTTGGGCTCCACGAGAAGTACGGTTCCACGAATCGTGACATGTGAGACTCTCAAAATGTGAGCGGCATTCGAGGAATCTGTGAGTGAAACTGTCTATAGTATACAGGTTACGTATTCATACAGAATACACAAACAGAAACCAATACAAAACCTGACTCCACCAATCGTAAACTATTTCGATAATGTAATCGATCTCAAACTATGCATACAAACACGTGATATAATAAACCCTGTCAGGGTTATTATTTCTAAGGGTGCTCAGGCCCGACTTATTGGCGACTGGACTGAGGACCTTACTGATTTAATAATAATAAGAAAATTAATCATGAAAAATACTGTTTGTAAAATAATACAACGAAAAATAAATTTTATTCCATTCGATGAGATGGATCGGTCCACGAATCCGATTTGAATTTCCCGCGGAAATAAAAAATCCTGGTATTCACCAGTTTTTCCAGTATCTTCATGAAAATAACAAAAGCGTGGTCAACGCCTTTGCGCGCTTATCTCCGAGTGGCGCGTCAAAATGCTGACAGCAGAATCAAAGTCCGACTTGGAAAAAAAAAGAAAGAAAGAAAAAAAAAGAAAAGCAAACAAAAAAATAAAAGACCGAACAAAAGCCCGTCCTAAAAAGCCAGATAACAAACGCAAACGTCAATAAAGGAGTATTATGATTCACAAAAAAGAAAAAAAAAAAGAAAAGATAAACTCACCGTAATTGCGCAGCGCACTTTGCCCTGCACCGCAAGCAGAACGACGCACGTGCAACGGGCGTCGCGACGTCTAATGCGTCGCGAAAATCACGTTACCCCAATACGTCACACTCACGGTTTCCGTATGAGCAAAGTGAATCAGAATAAAAATTTGTTATCTTTTACCTCCTCCCGCCCCCCTTCTTCCCACCCCTCCCCCCACTCATAATCATCAATAATAATAATATAACACAGTCATTAATATATCGTACAGCAAATTGCGTAGCATCCTGACGAACTCTTTGTTAAGTTTCCCACGATCATCGATGACGATCAATTACGTACGAAAAAACTTGATATATTGCGCAATTAAATTAACATGGTTTCATTAAAATCGATGAAATTCTAGAAATTTTTGTTTTTACAAAAATTTATTTTTTACTCGATTTTGTTTTTTATATCCGCTACTATATGTATATCTGTCGGGTTAGAATATTATTTATTTATTTATTTAATTTTTTTTTTTTTTTATTATTTATTAACTTGTCGCTACACACTCGCCGATACGTCTCGCTAACGAAGATTAGTAATTACAGGTGGTACCGACATCTGCGACCGATTTGCATATTACGCTTAGCCGCGATATTAACCAGCATAAATCTCTCTCGGTTGCGCGTGGGAATTTCTCTTAGGACTGACCTAACCCAACGTGACCTAATTACGAGAAAACGTTAAAACGACACGATTCGTCGCGCAATTATTTTTAGGATTTTTTACCTCTTTTCCCCCTCTCCTTTTTTTCTTTTTTACTCTACGATCCCCACGGTTTTTTTTTTTCCCCTATTTTACAAGTGTCCCATCCGAGTGATGAGCGAATATCTATCGGGAAAAAAAGAATTGCACGAGAAACTTGAAAATGGCAAAAAACGCCCGACACACCCACTTGCGCGGCATTGATTTATTTCTTAGAAAACCTCCGCGAAGCCGGCGCGCTAATTAACTGTACTTGATTGGCCAGTGCATGCGTAACCTCAGGGATTTAACTGTCGTGCTCGACGATGTATGTATAGATATAATAAAACCGTCGGAAGGAATTCATACGCGTAGATGCACAGCGTGTATTCGAGTTTATAGTGTATGTCCTATAGGAGCATATAGCTATGTAATATACGTGTAACTCTGACGTGTAATCTTTATGAAGTCGCGAGTGATAGTTCACAAGGTTATTTTAATTGCAGGTTATATGTATTTTCATTATTGGGACAAAAATTTTATTTACACGCGAGTACGCTGTCGCTTGTCCAGCATACAGATATATTGTGTGCGTTACGTAATTCAAATTTAATACCGTTCATTAATACCAATCATCATTAATACTGACGTTGATATGACTTGGAGTAAAATTAATTATTTTTTTCTTATCGGATTACGATTTTTTCATTTTATCGCATTTTAATTATAATTGTTTAATTACGTCCGTCAGGCCTTCCGGGACCGTCACCACCACTGTGACCATCGTGGCCTTGACCTTGCCTATCGTCACCATGTCCACCGTGGTCACCTCCATGTCTTCCACGATTGTCTCCGCCGTCGGGTCCTGGTGAGTTTTGTAAATTTTGAAAAATTTTCAAATTAAAAAAAAATTAAAATTAGTACCACTTGCGGATTGTAGAAAATTTTGTATATGAAAAAAATTTCTTTTTTTTATTTACCTCTCAGTGCATTTATTAAACGCAATCAAGATACACCCGAGAGTCGCAACTAGGTCTGAAGGTTCTAGGCGGATTTTCATTTGTAGGTAGTCCAGCCTTATCGTAATTTTTTATCACACGTCCATCGCCGCCGCCTTGATGCTAATGGTCGCTCGATGACGTAATTGATGACGTGTCAACGTTTACGAATTTTACGAGGTCGTCCATACTTCAAAGGCTCGGCTAATCGCTAAATAATAAATACAGTTATCGCAGTACTTGCTTTTTGACTTTTTCGAATATTGAGATAAAAAAATGGATCTCGCGATAAGGCGCTACGATAAGAATGTAATATCGTATCACGGAGCTTAGTACGACGTTGGCTATCGACTACGGTGAAAGGAGTGTGCGTATTGAAAATTTTATTTTTTTTTTCGGTGAAATCTAAAAAAAATTTTCATGGATTTATTACGCGGAATCGTTCACGGATTGACGGCTCCATCGAGGACTCGACCACCGCGGCCTCCACCACCACCTCCGCATCATGGATGGCACCATCCTCCCCATCGTTATCCCCCTCCGCCACCCCATCATTATTATACCCCTCCACCTCCTCATCATCATTATCCCCCTCCCCCTCCTCCTGCTCATCCTTATTACCATTATCAAAGTTATGGGGGACCAAATTCTTACGCTCTTCCGGTTCCGGTTTCCGGTCCTCTACCTACCCCAACCTCAATTCCCAATAGCGGCTACCCTCCCCCTGTTAATAATATCGTGCAACGTGACAGCCCGCCGAGTTACTTCGACTTATATGCCAGCAGTAATGAAAATCGGATACAGCAGAAACCTACCGCACCCACTGGGCCGTGAGAATATTTTTTGGAAAAACAAAAAGGGACTTTGGGATTTTGAGGTACGTTTTTTTTTTTTATATATATGGACACCGTTACAATTTATTTGGACGAATAATTTTTTTATACTTTTTTTTTGACAATTACCTTTTCTGACTATCTTTAATCTTGTTATCTATTGTTCGGAGGTTTATAATCGTTATCTCTCAATATGGCGCAGATGCATTCGATAAGTTAAAAAAAAAAGTTGAGGAATTAAATAATTTTTTGATTTTTTACAATGCATAAATTTTTTGTCATAAACGTAGCGTATGAATGCATTCTTTATTGAAATCCAAAATCTGACCTAAATTATGTCACTTTCTATTTTTAAAGTCTCGTCCGATAAGATTAAGAATTTTTCGTCGTCGCAATGCGATACTGATTTTATTAAATCGTCCAGTGAAACATGACATTGCGTTACACGAGGTATAAGAAAGAAATTTGCACGATTCAATGAATTTCGGAAAGACACCTTGTATGGATTTCTATAAGAATAACAATTAAATACGTAAATCGCATACAAAACGATAATGTAAACGTGATAAAAAGTATAGCCGGCATTTTTGCACTAACAATAATAACTATTTGTATAATAAAAAGATTTGCATTTGAAAAAATTGTATTCAATAATAGAAATAAATATAAATATCGATCTAGTATATTTTTTTTTTATACAAAAAAAATACCTGTTCTGATTTTCCCTGATAACGAAAATAATACCAGTATCCACGCAATACAAAAACACGTACAGTTTCATGTAGCTAAATTCGCAAATAATTTCATACGATTTACATTTAAATGTTTTCATGCGCGATTTTTTTTCTGCCAAAATAACAGACTCGCCGTTTATTTGACACGAGGCTTATGTACAGGCGTGCTAGAAAATGTATAAACATGGGAGGATATGTCAACGGTTCGAAAAGTGCGTTGAACTTGTCATCCGCTTGTACGCGTAACGCAGGATGACAATGCGAAGGTGAATGACGGGTTGCGGTATAAAATAATTATTATATCAAATGACTTAAAGAGAATTGCCAGAATTGTCATTTTGTTTCACAGAGGGGTCGACGACACTAGACGGATTTGGCTTTTAGGCCATTTAATCAAAAATTTATTACATATTTATTAATCTGAAAATTCATGTCGCATTAATTATAATAGAAACTGTATTAGTTGAACTTGAAAGTAGTCGAATTTATCATCTTAAACCTCCTGGACCAGTACAGCAAATCTGTGTTAACCACCGTGATGTCCGTCAAATATTGACCCACCGTGATGATATAGACCATCATGGACCATCATGGTCCATCTCCTGGACCTGGTCTCTCCGAAGAACAGAGAAGACAGATACCCGTCCTGAAACGTAATAAAAATATTAAAAAAAAAAATTTGTAATACTTCATACACTGCAAACAGGAAGACTGACAGCTGACAAGGTGCACGTGGCACGTGACTTTGTTTTTTTTTGAAAAAAGAAAAATTACAAAATTACATAAAAATTTTGATGCTCGAAAATATTTAACGCGCACCTGCGCTTACGGTATACTCTAAATGCAATGGTAAACGTAGTTCGATCATTGAACGCTTACGCGATTGATTCCTTAAAATCATATTGATTCCTAATTCTACTTCAAATAACCCAAAGAATAAACACGCGAATAAATTCATTGATTAACATTAATTTTTATATCCCATTAAGAACATCGATATCAAATACGCGTATTAAAAAGTAAATTCAACCGGAATCGACTTTGAGCTTATCAACCGCGTCTTATCGTTCGAACGCTTATGAATTATCAACCTTATGTTTATCATTCGAATGCAATGTATACATCCGCCGTTACATCCCATAGTGAGTCAATTTCGTTAGCGCGACACTTTTCGCACTTCCGCCAGGACTGATAACAGCTGTCGCCGATCCTTTAAACCTTCAGGCGGATCACATCGGTCCGAAGTTGGCAGCGAGTGAAATACCGAGTGAACGTGACCGCAGTCCTTCCACGCGTGTGAACCTTAAAAATCATGTGGTGCCACGTGAGCCACGTAATAATATTTAAACATTTCAGTTAGCAGTTCCATTATTTTTCTTTTTCTTTTTTTTTTTTTCTTTCTTTTTCTTATTCCTCTCGAATAATTAGTCACAGCATGCATAAGCCAGAAGGGTCATTGACCTCCCGTCCTGGCAGGGTCGACGTCGGCGTCAATTTGTCTGACACGTGAATTAATAGTGACTTCGGATATACGGCTGTTATTTATTTTCATTATTTTTTATTTTTAACAAATTATAATCATTGTACATTTCACTCGCGATAATAAGATCCAGATTGTCTTCCGTGTGATATATGATTAGTTTATTGGCTCCTGGATCATTTATTTAACTTTCGTTAAGTTTCTTATAATTTATCAATGATATCCGAAATTTCAATCTTGTTACCTGGGTAACGTGCACTTGGAATGCGTTCGCATCGATCTTATGTAAAAATAGGAATTATCATTGATAACGATAACCCAGCGTTATACCCGTGACATTCGAAAATAGATACAGCTTGCGCCGATAAGATAAATCTGTTACTGACCGTCGCCAAAATTTTTAATTTTAAATCCTTCGTGACGATTTAACGAATTTACGAAATGTTATCAGTGGATCACGTCACGGATCGCCGGTACGCTTATCAATTTTGATTTGACTCAAAAAAAGTCATACAAGTGTAACAAATATTTTTTAAAAATATATAGTATCGGTAAAAATTTTGGATACTTGCAGTTTTCAATGATATTAATTTTTCAAAATGTTTATAAAGACCCAAAATTAATATACAGGGACAGAGAGCGAGAGGACGAAGATAATTTAAAAAATATATAATTTTTTATTTTACGTGTATATAGTATGTATCGATAGATCCTACTATCGATTTGTGAACAAAAATCGTAAATCGTCTCCGTTCGATTTCTAAGCTTTATGATGACGGTCACTGATAATCAATGATAAGGAAACTTGATGACTTTCCGTCACCGTCGTGCAGGTGATTCATGTGGTCCGTCATATGGTTCATGATGGGGTAGACCCCATTCTGGACGACCACCAGGTGGTCCAGGATCACAGCAACAGCATCCCCATTCAGGGCAGCATAAACACGAAATTCACAGACCCATGCCTAGAAAAATCATAATACAATATTTAACGTCGTAATAAAGAGTATACAATATTTTAATTCAAAATTTTTATTCAATTAATATATTAATACACAATAAATTGACCCTTATACTATACTGCGTCGGAATATAAAAAATAATTTTGTACACTTAATAAAAATTTATCAGTGTTCGACGATCGATCCTTATCACAATGATAACAGCTCGGGTTAAAATAGTGAAATTAATGATTCGAAAATCGATATGCGGATACGATAGTGAATTTTCGCTTTGTTTTTATCATGATTTTATTTTTTGCGTTAATATGGGTATCATATGAGGTTTAATTACATATGACGGTTGATTGGTTTAAAGACACGGTTAATTAAAATTAATTACCTGTTACTTTTAACCGTAAACATAAGCGCCTTAAATTGCGTGTTATTTGATCGGATGCTTAATACTTGGCGATTAATTTATTAAAACGTATCAAATTACAGTGCGGATTATTGGCGTACTTTTTTTTTGTACAAAAATTACAAGTACAAGTAGTTTTGTGGTACATGGGGTACGTTTCGAAAAATTATCATAACATTCTGATTGATTTTCAATGATGAAACGTCATCTTTGATTAAAAAATTATCCCGTTTTTTTGGACTTATTTTAATGGCATTAAAGTAACTTGAAAAAAATATTAGATAAGTAAACAAAATTTTATTACAAATCACTCGGTCAAGAGTTATCAAGAGATTGGCTATTCATCACGCGCCCGTACGTCGTGACGAGGTTGATTATTTATATTGAAATTTTGCAAAAATTCAAAATGTAACTAAAAAATTATATCGACTTACTTCAATGAAAATTTGAATAAGTGTGCGAATATGGTTATAGGTGTTAACGAAGGTAAATTTTATATTGCAATATAGAGTATGTGGTTTATAACGTACTCGATCGCTTCGAGTCATCGACTGAATTTGACGGCAAATTTTTTATCGGACGGTTTTTTTAATCTAATCTCGTCGCTTCAAAAAAAAAAAGGAGAGGGGCTGGAGCTCAGTCCAAAATAAAAATTTGAAACCATTATAACGTAGCTTCAGCGAGTTCATTCGCGGTTACGAATTTGTCATTACACTTGCCGGAAAAAGGTTCGTGATTCAACAGAGTCGATGATCATCATCGTCAGTCATTTTGACAATCGTGCTGATTAGCTGATAAGATTTTTTTTTAAATTATACACGAAAAGTACCCAGACAGTGACGTGGTATGAGTCACAATAATTTGGCGAAAATCAGATTAGACCAGAAATTTGTTATCGTTTTAATACAGAGATAAAAATTTTTTTTAACAATGGAAATAATGAAAATTAATTTTTAAAATATTTAATTTCAGTTCTAAGTGCTATGTCATTTTTTTTAGAAAACTATGGCTCGTCCATCAGGACCACCAGAAGGATTTGGACATCGTGGACTGCATGGATCTGGACCTCATCCATGATAAAACAAAATTGACAATTAACATGTAAATGTTTAATAAAATTACATGACTTTATAATTGTTATTTTATTATGAAATAAAATTTTTTTTACCTAGATGCTATTTTATTTCTCCTTAAATATTCTCACGTCACGCTGCTCTTAAACTTTGAGAACGCGGGGGATCCTCAGGTATTTCCTTTTTTATGACAAATAGTCATATTTAATTTTTTCATGTTGACTCAATACGCGATTACGTCTTTTTTGTTTATTTAGAATTAATCATCATAGAAGTTACATATTATTAGAAGTTGCGATGCACTTGCAATAGAAAATACAAAAAAATGTTGATATTTAATTAAAAAAACATATATCTCTTACAATTTATCAGTGATAAGAGTTACGTCATTGTGTTATCATTGTGATCAGTACGATCAGGTAATTGATAATATAATCAGATCACGCTAAAAAAAATCGAAATTAAATGAATAAATTTTTATTACAATTCCTTAAAAATGTTTAATACTCTTTATTTAGGTATTAGTATTACGTAACTTTCATGATCCGCCTCCGTCACCGCCAAAACCACCAAAACCACCAAAACCGCCACCACCATCGAATCCACAGTGGCCTCCAAATCCTCCAGAACCACAAAATCCTACAAACGAAAATACTCAGTTTTATAAAAAAAAAAAAAAAAACCACTGATCCCATTATAACGAAGAATTTAATTTTCAAAAATATCAAAAAATATATATTTTTTCTAAATTACCAAAACAGTCCTCCTGGTTTCACCAGGTCTCATAAACCCTGGGCCAATAGGACCAGGCCCCACCATAGGTGGGCCCAGGTGAGTATAAAAGCAATAAAAGCACATATTATCCATAATTTCAAAAATGAATAAAATTACGTTTCCGATCAATCGACATGTCATCTGTTCCATCAATTAGACTTTCGCCACAGTCCAAAAGTATCTTTTAGCTATTATCAGACACGTGACTCGCGCTTTACTCTTTAGTAACAATTTTGTAAAAGTACAATATTTTCTTATCTATCGGTTGTCACTGAACTCAAAATAGAGGAAGACATTTTTTTTCTCCCCGGTACCTAAAACCCCTCTCGCGCAATAACTAATTGGTCTAATTGATCTCGATACAAATCTTATCTAATATGATAACAGTACGCGAATATACCAATACATATCGATCACTACACAATTCGTGACCACGTACTGCAAAGTAATTTCTCGCGTATTAAACACGTAAATATACAATTTTTATCACATTTATCGTACGCACTTCCGGCTGATTCATTAATTTCGATTAACTCGTTTCGCGCGGACAGCATTTGCCATTAAATCTATTTAGTGTATCGTTAGCACAGAACGAGAAGATCAAATTTGGCTCTTATCATTTTTCTACGAAAATGATACGAGTGATATATATTTACTTTTTACGTCATTTCCAATCGACACAAATCATTCGATAAGAATCAACGATCAAAAAATTATTAACCGGAATAAATTGTTTTCGCGAAATGTACGTGGAACTGTATTATTTCAATATTAAAATATCATTAATTAAGGTACCAAGATTTTGATAATTTTTTTTAATCAATTTTTTTTTTATACAATACCGTAAATCTCGCAATTAGCCAGACTAATACGCTCGAGGCTAATCGTCATATCGTAAATCGACCCAGACAACAAATCATGTCCAAAAGTGATCCTTAATGTGTCTTAATCACACAGAAGTTGTCTTTAAGAACTCTCAAAGATGTCTTTTGGAATACACGTTATCCGAACAATTCCGACATTACATTTCTTAGCCAATATCAAAAGTCTGTATCGTTGACTTATTTTTACCTACCGGCAGTTGGTCAACAGCCAAGAAGAAACCTTGGATATATTATCAGTCGATAATTCAACGCCGTTAGAAATATAAAAAATATTTTCAAAAAAAAAAAATTTTTTTAAGTACACAAAAAATATATACAAGCATACGTAACTGATATTCCATATGTGTATCCATATAAATATTTATCATGACATGTCGATAAGAGGAATTATAATGGAAACACACGTAAGCAATTCTCTATAAATTCTAACATGTTTCGTTGCGCATTAATGAGTCACCGTATGATTCTCATGTTTTCCGATGACTCGGTCAACATGTTTATCGTCGGGCTTACATGCTACATGAATTTGTGTACGTGTGAAGATAGAAAAAAAAAGACGGCAGGTAAATTCAAAAGATAGAAGAAAAAAAAACCATCGTGATTTGCGCTTGAAACGTTTCGTTTGGCCAAATCACGACGGTGGGAATTGGTTATGATGACGAAGCGCGATTAGATACGACGAGCATATAAAGTCAAAGCGTCGACGGAAAGTGGCAGTTCAGCGTCGACATTCAACTGGAATAAAGTGAGTATATACCTGATATGATTTAAAATAGTAATAATTATACTAAAAAAAAATGTATCAATCCTCAATCCCAAATTCATTATAATTTTTCAAGATGCATTGATGCACTACTAACGATTTGTCATTCCAAGTCAGTTTAATTAATTTGATCAAATTTTTTTTTTTTCGGAAAAAAAAAACGTCTCACTAGCAGGAAGAGGGTTGTGGGACTGTCGAATGAGGGTTGATTAATTTTCAACGTTTTTCACGCCCTATTTACGTTGTCTTGATTAAGTCGTATTCCAGCATGCATTCCCATCATCATCACCATGGTTCACCACCTCCACGTCTTCATAGACCACCACTTCATCTTCCACATCTTCTTGTACCTCCACTTCATCCTCCACTTCATCATCCACATCTTCATGGACCTCCACCTCATCCCCCATCTTCATGCACCTCCACTTCATCTTCCACATCTTCATAGACCACCACCTCATCCTCCACATCTTCATGGACCACCACATCATGGAACACCGCACCATGGACCACATCACCATCATCATTGATGACGTAAAGTACGTAATTCGCTGTTTACGAATTTGTAATTTGCTTATGATTTTTTTCTCGTCCTTCTCATAATCATGACCGTTGTCGTTTCAGTAATTTAGATGGATCCTGGAATTGGAAGATGCGACGGACTTTTATTCTATTCTATATGCTCTATAATGCTGCTCAGAGAACATCGACGAGACGAACAGAGACAAAATTTTACATCAATGATGAACAACTTATTAATTGTGTTATAACGCGTGTATAAACTTTTATAATGTATTATTTGTACTGTATTATTGTATTTAGTCGTTGTGTCGATTGTATTGGAAAATAAATTTTTATTCACCTTCAAGGCAGTTTTACAATTTCTTTTTTGTGACTTCGAAGACGCCCAGAAGTATTTTCTTCTATTTCGAGATCGCTCGAGACGATATTCATTATCTTCGTTTATTTCTAGGAACGTCAGTCGTTATTAAATTGACGATAAGGTGTGAATTATTGACGTCGCGGCAGGACATGGGAAATATCGTTTTTATGAAAAAAAAAAATATATATTTTCTTCAGCGTCAAGCTTTATCGTGTCTCATCATATTAATCTGTAAGATATGATAACACACTGTCAAGATTACAGTTAATGTTTTGAGTCGCGGTATCAGGAGAACATTACACGTTTCACATTGAAATAATCCGCACGTCTATAGCTTTGGAGCGTCGCGACGCTGGGTCGTCGATCATTTAAAAACAATGTAATTTCATCGTCATGATAACTAGTGGCGCCTCGTAATACCGTGTAAAAAATTTGAAGCTTTGTCGAAGGTGATTTACATACATCGATCCTAACCTAACATAATTTGTTCTACCTTACCGACCGTTCAAATGGAACACGCACGTGCGCGAAATTATATATGGATATAGGAATAATCGATGTAACGTGAAAAACAAGAATACTGATGACAGTTTCATTATCTTCCAGAACGCTGTTATTGCTGCAATTTTTTATGTGATAAAGCTGGTCCATTCTGAATGTGAAAAGAGCTGGAAAGAAGAGGAGAATTTAATAGAAGCAACCAAAATTTACAATGGTGCTGGTTGTAGCACCTAGGATTGATCAGCATGATTGCCAAAATCTGGATTGGATCCATTTTGATTCGATTGTTGGGATTCATCAGGAGGTCTTGAATAGTATCATCCATGATACTATATTGATGGATAGTCGACTTCTTGCTAATAGGACTTTTCAGCGAATCAACCGAGAACAGGATGTGGCAGGAAACGTGATAGCGGAAGTGTCTATATCTTCCGATTCGGATAGCAGTACTGATTCAAGATCATTTTCGCCACCTCCACGCAGACGAAGTTATAGTGATGGTTGTCGAACGATGCGCGATGAAGCTCTAGGATTTTTATGCTTTCCGCATCAAGTGCTTCGTGAGGAGGGATCGAAGAGGTCTGATGTGTCTCCTTTTGCAACTGAAGTTGATGATGAATGTCGACATGAAAATGAGGATGGAGATGAACATGGAGGTGGGCATGGAAAGAGATGGGATCGAGATTTGCCGCCTCATGAAAGTCATGGTTTCTGGAGTCATGGACCACCACGTGATGATCCACTGGATCATGGTCAATCGCATCATGGTCCGCCACATTATGGACATCCGTTTCATCGTCCACCACATCATTATCCACTATATCATAGACCTCCGCATCATGGACCATTTCATCATGCACCACCGCATCATGGTCCACCACATCATCATCCACTATATCATGGACCTCCGCATCATGGACCATTTCATCATGCACCACCGCATCATGGACCATTTCATCATGCAGCACTACATCATGGACCACCTCATCATGCAGCACCGCATCATGGACCATTTCATCATGGACCACCTCATCATGCACCACCGCATCATGGACCATTTCATCATGAACCACTACATCATGGACCACCTCATCATGCAGCACCGCATCATGGTCCATCATCTCATGGACCATCGCATCGTGGCCCACTACATCATGGACCACCTCATCATGCACCACCGCATCATGGTCCATCACCTCATGGACCATCGCATCGTGGTCCACTACATCATGGACCACCTCATCATGCACCACCGCATCATGGTCCATCACCTCATGGACCATCGCATCGTGGTCCACTACATCATGGACCACCTCATCATGCACCACCGCATCATGGTCCATCACCTCATGGACCATCGCATCGTGGTCCACTACATCATGGACCACCTCATCATGCACCACCGCATCATGGTCCATCACCTCATGGACCATCGCATCGTGGTCCACTACATCATGGACCACCGTCGCCTCGATCATCTCGGCATCACAAATCCAATCGTCATGGAACCCCATATACCAGACCAACAGCCCCACATTCACCACCTCACGATGAACCTCCTCAACACGAACCTCTACATCATTACGTTTCTCATTCTTCAAATTCTCATCATAATCCCCAACATAACATCCCAGCTCACCACCACCATGATCCTTCACCATCCTCCTTACCTGCACGAACACCAACGCAGAACGCACAGCTACTACCAACATTACACCGCAAACAACAACTCTATCAGAATCCACCCCAATTATCCCAAACATCCCAGACGGCACCACATGGCGATTCTAACAAACAGGATGATCAGAGATCATCACAGTCCCATCAGGCAGAAAATGACAACGCGAGCACTTCAGCATCGAACCCAGCTAGCGAAGGTCGCCGTATTGAAGAAGTCCCCTGAAAATTTCTAAAGGCAGGTTGCCCAGACCCAAACAGAAGTCCCACCTGGAAACATCAAATCATCACACCGACACTTGCTGCAAGTCCAACCGCTCTGCAGCATCACTGCTTACTCATTTCCCAATCACGTTCATTTTGATCCTGACGGCCTCCAGGAACATAGAATCCAGTGTCAAAAATACCAGAATACATCTAATCAACCAGCAGGACATCGTAATCAACGCTGCTTATCAATTGGCATCACGGAAAACGTAAAACTGCAAAAATCAATCTTACCAACCTCGGAATCATCTCCGAATATTATATTGAACACTAGGAGTAAAATATTAAAAATTACATAAATAAAAAAAAACTTCACTGGTGATGGGCTTATTAAAATCTATAATGAAGCACATAGCATATAAAACGCGTATCTATATCTTGTTATGGAATAAATGAATAAAATTTTTTTAAAAATAAAAATATTCTTTCAATAACCATAATAATCCCGTATCGAACTTCCAATAAACTTCCTTGTTGATTGACTCGTTCCATTTCGACATTTTTTCCTTCCCCGCTCCTATCACCCCTCCCATTTCCCCCTCCACTTATCATTAGAACAATTAATTCTAAGAATCGTTAGTTCAAACGATTATCGATCAATGTTATCTGCAGGCACTTTTGCGCTGTATTTATAGTTACCAGTTGCGCAGCGCGTCGGGTCATCAATATGCGTGTTGGTGATTGCAGGGTTGAACGATGAAAGATTAAAAAAATTTATTCGAATTTCACAAGATCGCCACCAGGTGTCATCAGCTGCTACGAATCGACATCAGGTATACGACTGATAGCTATAACCGAGCATGGCCATTTTATTAGAATCGAGATAAGCGATAACGTACACCATATCCTTGTCACGTAAATGAAAGTTGATAAAAAAAAAGCGTCGATCGTTAATTGCAAATAAAATTTCAAAAAAATAAACCAACGTTCGTCACGATCTTCGACGTCGTACAAGAAGATGACCCGTGGAGTCTCTCAATGATTTTTTTAAAACAGTCACCCAGTGCTCCATCATCATTAAACGTGTCGCTGTCATTGACTTCGTAAGCGATTGCCATTCAATTACATAAACAAATCGAAACCCAAAAGTACGTAAAATCGGCATGGCAATATTAAATATCGAAACGACACGATTGATACGGGCCATAACTTTTCTACAAGTTGTTTGAACTTTCGCGCGCGATCGTTAATAACAATAATTACATGAAATCCGCCAAGCGACTCCAATCGCAATCGGCCCCCCTCGCGGTAACTTCAATTATTCATTCCTACAAAACGATCGCGCATTCATTACAGATAGAGGGAGACGTTATCGCATGTCGTCGTATCAAAATTTTCTCTCCCTATTAATACCAACCAACAACACGTTCCACCGTACGCATAACGATACGCGATTATTACAAAATATTGCAGCATCGGCATATTTTACATCGTTTCCGTCATCAGCGTAAATCATCCCCACCGCCCCCCACCCAACCGCACGCAGGAAATCATCAACCATCGACATGACGGTGCTCGGTAAAAATTGTACTAAAAATTTCAAAAACCAAAAAAAATTACTCAAAAAGTGCCCCAACCCCCCTCCCAATCGATAACCAAAATTCATCATTTTTTTTTTTTCGAACGACCAATTTTCATCATTTTTGTTAACCCCGTTTTGCGTACACAGAAGCCATAAACCTTGCGATCGTTTAACATTGCAGAACGTTGGATCTGCTACACGTTACCGTGCGGCGTAAGAGGGGGAATGGAGGAGGGGATTGTACAGCTGGAGGCTAGTAGGTACCGAGTACGTTGTAAGGAGAGGAGAGGGGGGTGTCTAGAGGTGGAAGAGGTGGCAAGGTAGGGGTGGTAGAAATAGGTGGGGGTGGGAGAGCGAGCGAGAGAAGCAGAGAGGTAATTACTCTGGCGACATTGACCCGACGGCGACCCGACAGCCGCTCGCCTCGACTCGCTCAACTCAACTCGAGTCGACTCGGAGTCGAGTCCCGCACGGCTTCTACCGCCACACTGACTCACCCACACGGCTGCACTTCCACCAGAGCGCTAGGTATGGTTCATCCGAGTTCACTCCTCGATCGCCGAACCCGAGCGAAGCCGAAGTCCAGGGCTGGGGCACTCGTATAGCTCGGCTGGACTCTCCTTGGGTATGAGCTACCGTTTTTGAGCTACCAGCGAGAGCAGTTCTCCAGCATCCGATGTCAGATATATAGGAGTGAGCTTGTTAACGGTGCACCGTGTGCAGGTTTAATTAATTAAATATAAATTAGACGCTGACGTCGTAAACGCTGATCGTAATGATCGGTGAATGATTTTTGAAAATTTTATCAGGTTCAAAATTTGGAAAAATTAAATTTTATATATCGGGCGCTGATCTCAGGGGGTGATAATCGACTGATTTAACAAACTTTTTTTTTTGAGTTTTGGAATCGATTCTTTGAGTTTGACGAAATCGTGCGGTGATCGATGATCGCGTGATTATTTTAGAATTTTGGACGTAGACTTTTATTCGGTTTTGGTGATCTATTGTATCTTCTTTTTTTTTTTTTCTTTACACGGTACCGTTGATCCGATCGTATATATGTAGTCAGTTTAGTTGTACGTAATTTTGGGCAAAACTAGTTTGCCCCAATTTTCGTATAAATCATTGGGCGATCGAGGCGCCGAAAGATTGTTATGTACAGGGCGCGAAGCGGACTGCGTATATTATATCGTCGCCCTGTAGCCGAACTCATCTCACGAACATCTCACAAAGCAATTAGGTCGATCTTGATTCGATCAGCCATTACCGATCATAATCGGTTAATATAATCCCCCCGGTCCGCGCAGTCGGCGTCAACTTTACGATCACCTGAGCGTCTCTTTAAATGCGCACGCGCTACTCTTACCTTCGTGCCCACTTTGCGTAGGTATCCTACGTCTAACGGGTGTACGGGGAGTATTGAATAAATTTATCGAAAGTGCATACAGTGCGTTACGGGGTTCGCTCCTCCCGATGCAATTAAAATGCAACGTTCAATCTCGTGTTGTGTGTTGCATTCGACACCCGACGGCCGACGTCATGCGATCGTAAATTCAACGCCGTAATGGCGGACAGGAGGATGTTCGAGATCGGAGAGTTTTAGATACGGTAATATCCATAAAATTGCCCTTATCCGTTTCCTCATAGGCACCCAGGTGTTCGAGTTACTGCTCCCACAAAGAAACGGACTGTCCTGTATTAAAATAAATTTAAAAAAAAATCACCTGGGGATACATTGCGTGGTTAACATTTATTTTGGAAAAATAATTTTCTATTGGACATGTTCTATTACATGGAAATTTATTGGTTAATTGGAAAAATTGAATATTTTTTAAAAATATTGTTTTTATCCCATTGACAATTTTAATCGTCGTCAATTTTACCTGGATATTTGATTTACAGGGTCGCAGTCGAATTAATACGTTTTTCGGACACCCCGTATATTGGAAGAACCGAACGAGTCAAGATTAGAGGGTTCGCCGGGATGCTGGCGTCGGACTGGTCCAGGTTCACGAAGCAGGTACACAAACACTGCTGAAGACCTTCGGGAATACAGAGAAGTTATAATCCCATGTGCAGGTACATTAACGTGTAGATATATATGTATATATATCCATATATCCACATGGAGGTTCTTAGTGGAACGAAGGAACGAACGGAACGAAAGGAAGACTCGAACCGGCAGGCTGTAGCAGGACGAGAGTCTGTAAGAGCCTCCCGCAGTGCAGCCAACCTGTTTTCTCTCTCCCCGCCGAGTTTATTTTGATTTATTGTGTCGTCGCTAAAGAGATGTATTGTTGTGACATTGTCCAGGCCCTTCTTGCCCAGGAGAAGAGGTTCCCTTGATCCTTGGGGTCCTTGCCGAATCGAGCAAGGAAAGAGGGAGAAGGTGGAGGAGAAAGAAGAAGAAGAAAAAAAATAAGATGAAGATGATGATGGTCCGTTACAGGATTTCAAATTGGCTACGGAGTAAAAATATATCTCTTCATTTTCCATGCCCGCCATGGTATAACAATAAGATAAGTACGCTGTCAGAAAGAACCTAGATCAGAACTGATGTCATCCGTAGGTTACCCGAGAGATCGGCGGACAGTTAGGATTAATAGGGAATTGGCAAGCCTGTAATCTGAAATGATCATTCACGCCTGAATGATACCAGTATAAATAATTGACTGTCCTAAGTATTTTCTAATTGATCGTCGATTTAAACACGCACGAGAACACGATCTACCGGTTGTCACTATTCAATGATTACGTTAATAGACACTGCCGATATTATTATACGATTATTGTGACGTTACGTCGTTAAACAGTGTAATGACAACGACAGTACTTGATTGGTACCTTCGAGCCAATGGGAAACAGAAAAGTTCGCAAAGAAATTGACGTGCATAGAATAAATCATAATATAAACGGAACTCACTGAGACAAAAAAATTACCTCAAGCCAAGTTCACAACGCGTCGTTCGCGTAAGCACAGAAACAGTTGACGATGCAAAGATAAAAAGATAATGCTTTGAAAAAAGGAAAATAACACCTCCAGGCACCCACACTTTTATTATGCATCGCGCACTAGAAATCATTAACGAGATAGATTACGATGACTAGTCATTCGAATACTGACGTCACCGAGTCAAACCACGTGTCCGGATAAGCGCACGTGCTCGCTCCCGCGTCCTCGTCGACATAACGGAAAGCATAGAAATCGGATTATGGAAGTTTACAGTCCATCGAAAACATCACAGACGTAGATACTGCGCAGCGATAGTTGCGGAAATGATTATCGAGCAGTGGCGCCACATGGTATACCGGTGAGCGAAATGGGTACTATCTGCCAAACATGGCTTTTCGTTGTCCCTTTATTCGTAGATACAGATATACTAAACGAACGTGACCCGAGCGTCGGGTCCGCGGAGACAAGTCTCACGGTTAATGGCTTCCAGTCGTGACATTTGTGCCATGTTCAACCCTAGATGGAATGCTCGACGTGTGTAGGCTGTCCGCTACTGAGTATATACATTACGGAACATGCTGTCGCGGCATCGTACCAGCATTTACGAGTTGCATCGACGCACAGTGCAACCTGGCGGCCGGAGCGCCTAACTCGGTCGAGAAAAGTTTTCGTTCCTTAATAACGCGCCATGTCTCCGCTCTTAGTGCCTTGCGAAACTTTTCCGACGTGGTTGACATCGAATCTCACGTATTCGAGGTTTATGATCTTTATTCGACCGACTGTATTCCAAGATGGCGGCTTCTTGCGTTCCCGCGTCACTTTGATATACGTTTTTATCATAACGATATCGTTACTCGGTAAAATGCTGGTGTAAAGCACGGTCGATCCACACGCGCTGTTTTGTTGTTACAATTTCTGGACGACTCAGCAGCTGAGACAAGCAGAGAAACACGACGGCTGGTGGACCGAGCGTAATATCACCTCGACAATCTAGTGCACAGTCAGTGGACACTCTTGGCTTTTTGATAGCGTACTAACCGGAATTGTACGACGTCGTGGAAATTCGACTCCCTGACGATGATGTGGTTGTTGATTCTCGTGGTTGGAAATGCTCGGTGATGTTGGTTCTGTAATGTTTCCTTTTACATGGATCGTTCGAGTCGTTATACACAAGTGTCTCATTATCAGGACGAATTACTGCGTGGATTACATGTGTTTGTGAACTTTGTGTGTAAGTTAAAAGTATTTTATTGGAATCCGTTTCGCCGATTAATCGACCGAACGTGCAAGTATCGTGAGTCAAAATAACCTTGAAGCTTCCCGGGTGGCTTACTGGCCTCACCTTCCCCAGGAGACCTTCGACTCGTTTCCGCTTAAAGGCAGTTTTCACATCGCGCACGCATAATATTCCTTCGTTGCGTGTTTCGCGGATCTCCTTATCGGTAAACAAATACAGCGGCAATCCTGTCCAATGGGGATATCGAGCATAGAAACAGCTGGGTGACGTGACGTTAGTATCTAGGGAAATTAACTAAAAAAGTTATTGTATTGAAATAATCTGTAACGATAGTCTGCATCTGTCTTTTTATATGTGTTGCGATAACTCAATGAAATTTCAGCAAAATAGAATCGACTTCTGGAACATTTTGCGCGTAATGGAGCTCGATTCGCGATCGGTATACATACGTCGACTTTCTTTGGCTGGTTAAAGTGAAAAAAAAAATAAATAAATAAAAGACTTCGCGGTACCGGTGCAATGATAAGATGTAAATGTGCCTATAACTTTCCGCTCGCTGTTGTAAAGGGGATGTTTTGAGGTTTCTGATAGTGGCCGAGCGAGAGTTATCGCAGCCGATCGGGCTCCTTACCCGGGCCAACGGTGGGCGGATTCCTGGCGCCCGAGATTCTATCGCACACCCAGCGTGTACCCGACCCACGTTCCCGGGTATACCCGCTTGCAAGATCACCGATCTAAATCTTGAACGCACTTTTGTAACGATCATTTCGTCCCTGTATCTAATTTATATCAGTCCCAAGCACTGCGCACCAGCTTTAGAGATCTGTAACACGTATTTTTGAGGTATTCGAGTGTTAAATTTTGAAAAATCACATTCAATAAAAAAAGGCAACTTGGTAATAAATCATGTATTAATATTTTTAGTGTGCAAAACTAAACGAATATAATGACGATTAAGAAAATTATTTTCATAGCGCATTTTTAGTTGATATAAATTTTTGTCGATGTCCGGTCTTATGGATTTTGTAGAATTGACTGTAACTATTGTGCAATGACGTTCGCACGATCAGAGAGTCATTTGTAGAAACAATATCCGTGTGATTAATGATTAATCAACGGTAAGCGACGTGAAATGATTAATGGAACCTGCGCAGAACTCACTGCGCACGGAGGTGAGACGCGATAATGACGATAATATGATTTTCTCACAGGTTAAATGTGAAAATTTCAATTTACAGCTGCGATGGAAACCAACCAGGTGAGTGTCGTTGTCGCGGTCATGGCGGCTTTGCAATAGACGGCATGTAGCATTAACATACGTGCTTGTAATTGCTAAATAACGTATATCCAACTTCTCTCTTGCCTTACAGTCTTGGCCACTGACTATGTCAGTGACTCTAAACAGCCACGTCAACTTCCCTGAGAAACTGTATTTCTAAGCCAACGGTTTAATGCAGCTCTTATCTTGCGGACGTAATGAAAGCATTATTACGAAGTCTTGCGTAACTCGGGACGCCAGTGCCGCCGCCAATTTCTATAGAGACTCATCGCTTCGCTCAAATGCCAACATAACCTTAAGCGACCGTACTATCCTAGAGCAGATATAATTTATTTTTTTGAATAGTTAAACACTTCAGGATATAATTTGTTATAATATACGATAATTATTAATTTTTTATATGAATTCTGAAAAAAAAAATTTGCAAATTCCTATTTTTCCAGCTATTTATGTCAAGCCCAACGACGGTAACGGCAGTAAGAAAATTCGACGCTTCTGCATCCGAGCCATTAATATGTCTCTCTGCCTGTATACGCTTTGCGAATTTATCTCATCTTTGTAAATTAATTGCGATGGATTCTGGGGACGTCGAGTATCATGAAATATGCAAGGATGTATGTAAACATGTACATAGCGACGATACAACGCTCACTTATTTATTTGCCAGTTGGCAAAGCACCGCGACGCGGAACTCGTGTTGGATCTACGTTGCGTACAGGATATGCGGCTACGAGGCAACAGGAAGCGGCAGGATTTTTTCGTCATGGCGTCTCTAGCGTCTATCGTAATTTACGACTAGAATATAGTAATAGTACAAGTGGAAAATGAAATTTCTGATGTTTCACAATTTTCTTACCATCTAGCCTTTTTGTCATCTCGACGCGAGTACAGCGATATGCGATGGTGAACGAGAATATTTTCATCTCCATTGTATTTTATGAAATATTATTTTTTACTTGACAATATAATGTAAATGAATAATTATTTTCCCGTTCAAGGCTCCAATTAAAGTCTCAAAAAAATATAGATTTTTAAAAATATGATAATAATTTTTTTCTTCCATTTCCGTTAAATCAATTTTATTTTGACAGTTTGACGTTTGACGTCTTCCAGTGTAAACAAAGCCTGACGTAAAATAATCAACAGTCAGTACGACGGTATAGAAATTGGGGTATGTCAAAGACGATCTCCGACGAGTCAAAATGGCGGATGCCAGGTCTGGAGAAGTTAATGGGGAGAAAAATATGAAATTACCAAAAAGTTGAATGCCAAGCGTTTTAAATGTGTTGGAGTGAAAAAAAAAAGTATGACGAGGGTGTAATTTAACGGGTAAATTGTCTCTCGGCACGGGCATTACTCCCACGCATAAAGCATTCGCACCCCCTTTTCTTTCTCTCACGGTAGTCGCCATAACAGAGCGAAAACCGCATGGTCGATAAATATTCTATAATTTATTGGCAAGGCCACCACACGGTGGCGTCCATTCGTTCGGTGGGAATCAAAGAGTTTCGGGTGTTGTCAGCGGGTCGGCGCAGAAAACCTCAAAGAAAACCGCGCCGCGACGGGTTCCAGGTAGACGCGGCTGCACGTCCGTCTAGATTCCAATCAACGGGTTTTTGCGAGATCCCGCGAAACCCGTCCGTAATCTTTTCTCGAATATGGAGCGAAACACAGCATCCGATCTTCGTATTGGACCTAAACGTTCAGTCGCTCCACCAATATCAGCACCAGGTATTCATTCGATTAGCCATCGATCGATTAGCATAATGGACCTCATGTTTCCTTCGTGTTACCTTTTTTCATCCTTACTCCTTGGCTCCTCCTTTGGTCCTGGTCCCATCAGTATCAAACGTGTCTAGCAGAGACCCATCGTAGGACCGGAGCAAGATCAGGTGCCAGTTGCATCCGAAAATTAGGATCAAAACAGATCTTAATAGATTCGATTGAAAAAGGTGATTAAAAAACAAGGTGCAGATGTTACGTTCAAGAATTTTATTTAAAATTAAATTTTATCGAGTCTCTTGATTATTCAAGGTATCCCCACATTTTTTTTTCCAATCTCAATCTTCCAGACTTCATGCTAATCCAGCAGTTCGTGGAACAGGTATGTTTAAAATTTTTTTTCTTAATTCAGTGACAGACGCTAAAAAGTAATTGTCAATGCTCGTACCGATAAGACTGTATTAGTTTTCGTATAAAGCGACGCCTGGGACGCCGGCGCCGAACTAAAGTGTAAATATCAGAAAACGTACGATGCTCGTACATACCATAAAAAAGTACGGTGCTCGATGCAGTTGTCAGATATCGCCGTGAAGGCAGATGGCGCAAGACGTTGTTGCGTTCGCAAAGGCGAGTAGAAAAGCGACATTACGACGGACAGCAGTACGTAAATTTAGCGAAAATCGTCGTGACCTTTGCAAGGAGGCGTGGGTCGCGACAATCGTTTCGTGTATTCGATTCGATCGCCTATTGAAATCGTATTCGCAGTCGTGTATTTCGCAACGAGCCGTGCGCGAATAAACCATTGTAAAGGCAAGGTCTGGCAAGGGGAGGAAAGTTAAAGAATTTGTTATACAATACCAAATTGAAGAAAAAAAAAATGGTCATAAAGAATATAAATAATTTTGCAAAAATTCATTTTTTCACTCATCCATATACGGCAAGTGATGGTGAGACGAAAGATTTCGGAACGCGCTTTTAAATTTGGCGCCAAAATTTAAATATACAATTCATAGCCCACAGCGGTGTCACGTGGTGCACTAAGATGGCGGAACCTTGAAAACTAAATGGAATGGGAAGGAGACGAAAGAATGTGATTTAAAATAATTATAAACGCATTACTCAGACAGTCGGTCGGTTGGATGCAGGGAGGTAGATGAGATGGTAATCTCGATGATTTGTTATGCCATTGTTGACGCCTAATGAGGCAGCTAGGTTATGTATAAGCCACCAGACGTCTTCTCTTGCCGAACTGGAGAATAGGTCGTTCCTGTAGTTCAGGTTTGGTTTAGGTTAGGTAGGTAGGTGGGTACCTAACCTGTACCTGCATACATATCGGTGCCATTTTGCCTGTCCTTGCGTCGGGAAGCCGAGTATATGCGCTTCGTTGAATCTATTTATTTCCCAGAATGCACCACCGGCGAAATCGAACGTTCTCATGGATGCCAACCGAGTGACGACAAACTGTCGTACGATTATATGATCCGCCATCTTTGGGATTAAAGACCCTGGAATATTTGTAAAAAAGAAATTAAAAAGTTAAAAATTTTGTTTACAAAAAAAAATTAAATTTCCTATTATCATCAACTTTTGACCATCGCTGCCGTTTCACTGACCATATCCGTTTTGCGCGAAGAACTATACGGGGACATGATTTTTCGGTCGTTTCCCAAAACATTTAATACGCGAATCTTGTGCGGGACAGAAAATTTTGAAGAATAATTCAAGACTATGCAAATCACTAGATATGTCATTGATTAGTAATTTAAGTATCATCGAACGTTACGATTGGTTATGCATATCGCGTAAAATTGAAATTTGAATTATTTGATTGAATTTTTTTGAAATAATTTTCTCAGACTATTTTATTCAGATATCAATTCGACTAATTTCCCGCCGATCCCCAACTCGCGCTTTCCATTTAACGCGGAGACAAATCATGGCTACGTCTTATCGCAAGGCGATGCTCTTGGACTAAATACGTCCCCGAAAAAAACGAGACACGCGATTCGCAAAGTGGCGTCGCACATGTGGCGGCCCTGGCTGGCAATGCTGCCAAAAATGTGCCACAGCCCCTGAGAGATATGTAAGTACGAATTTAACCGACTCCAAGCTTTTTCAAATAATCCTCTTGGACCTTGAACGTCGTCTCTCTCTCTCCCTCTGCGATCAGTGCATTTGCGTAAGCCCTTCTTATTGGACGCAATAAAATCATTTCAAGAACACTCGGCTCGGAGATTTAGGTCTTGCGAATAATCGCAACTGCATGTCGGGGGCGTGATATTAAATCTTTGCATTCGATATTATTATTATTATGACATTTTTAAAACAGCTCTTACGTAATATCGATTAAATATTTATTGCGCGATATTTGAGGGAAATTTTATTTTTTTTTTTTCAAAATATTCCATTTTACAACTATTTTATTGATACTATACACGTATGCATATATAACGTACTACTGTACTACCGTATATGGAACTCATGGTGCCAACCACCATAACCAGCTTTGACGATCCGACTGCGCAATACGATTCACGATATTCTTGGGAAAAATAATAAAAAATCTTTCTCTGATATCAGCGGGTTAATAAAACAATGGCCGTGCAGCAATGTTAAAGTTTGTAATGCTCTCGCGAGAGAGAAGCCTTGAGCCCATTATTCGCCAATATAGCTTCACTCGATAGCATTGCTTTTGCGGCATTGAAGGCGCGCATGCAATGCACACCCGTTAACGCGATCCTTATCGTCCCGGGCATGCGTTATCGCGGCGTGACATTTTTTTTGGGGAAAATTTATGAAAATACATTATGCACTCCGCGGTAAAATTTTTCGAAAAATATATTTTCCTTCACACCCGTTATACGAAAAACGTCAAACTGACAGGCATTTTTTTTTCATCCCACGACTCCCACACTTTCCTACTTTTCATGTATTTCGTTATCCGAGGGCTTTCGTATATTTTAAAGGGTTATCGGAACTCGATGAGGGCTGTTAAAAATTTTTTTACACAAAAATAATTTTTTTTTAATTTTGTCGAAATCCATAAAAATGTTGTTTCTCGTGTAAATTTTTTTTTTTACGCATTTGACTTGCGCGCATGCGCTCCGATCATAGTGACATACGAATGAAAGCGCGATTGCGCAAATTACCCTGAATCAGCAAGGAGCGCTGCCGTTTACAACTATAAATTAACGTTATCAGTCCGTTTACATTACTTTCTTGTTACGCGATTAGCAATCGCCCAACAAGAGTACGCCAAAGCAAATCGGCCATACTAAGCAGGGGAGTTGATACCAGCTGCGAGAACGTATTTATTACTCCCTGTGTGATAGAGATGGTTGGACT